ATAAGAAACCACCTGGCCGAACTCACTCTTCAGCATGAACTTGTGGTTCCTCGGCGAGTGTCGGCTTCTCGGCGAGAATATCGAGTCCCCTCAGACCTCGTTTCCTCGCAGACTCGAACTCCGGGTCATGAACCAGCGTCCAGTAGCTCCTGCACATGAAAACATCTAATAGCTTCTGCGCCTCGTACTTTATCTTCGCGCAACCATCTGCTACCTGCGCATGAGAATGAACCCAACGAAGCTCGGCACCGCACTCTTGAACTCCTTGCTTGAACGCCATGCACTCGATAGCGGCGCGCTTGTCGCTGAGACCCAGTGCTGAACTCTCCGAACCAGTAACTGCATCGTATAGGCTCTTGCAGTCCGTGACGAGAACACTCTGTGGTCCCTTCTTGATCATGTCGTAGCGCTTGTCGCCCTTGAGCTGCACATCTGCGTTCAGCATCTCCATCCAAGCTAGCTGTGTATACTCCAGCTCCTCCGCGGCCTCGCTTGCTGCTTGGATTTCTGCACCCAATGATGAACGGCACTTTCGTGTCAGCTTCTTGGAAGCTCCCGTGAATACTGTGAACTTCTGCTTCTTGCCGCTGAGCGCCTCCACCTCGGTAGTGCACACAACATAGCCTCCTTGACTGCTCCCATCTGCTCTTGAACACCACGATGCATCGAACCAACATACCCACGCCATCTGCTTATAAGGATGTATGGTAACTCCTGTGCTCGCAAACTCGTGAATAGTCTTGACCAGCTGGTTGATCCTGCCGAGGTCCTTGACCGTCGCACTGTTGACAACCGCTTGTAGCATAGAAACGTGCACAGCAATTTGAGGCATCGTCTGTGTTGAAAGCCATTGAGCTTGACCAAGGATGGCACGGCATGCAGTCACTTCTCCGGCTGTCAGCTTGTCGTCCGGACTAGCCTTTCGGCCTCTCTTGACGTTGATCGGCTGGATGGTCTTGGCATACTTTTCTTGACTTAGCCTGAAGCCTCCATCTGGATTTCTGGAAACTTCAACTCCACAAACTGAATAGCCAGCCTCGTCTGACTTCCACATGCCCCATCGGTATAGCGTCTTGAGATGCTCGTACTCCACATTGAACTCCACGTTGGTGAGGTCACCCGCAATCTGGAAGTCATCCACATGCACCAGGATGAGCCCGATCACCTTTTTGTCAGAGTTCAGCTTGGTGAAGAGACACGGCTCGAGCTTGCATGCATACCAGCCTCTGCTCTCTAGATCCTTCTTGACCTTCTCGTACCACCGCCTGGGTGCATTCGTAAGTCCATAACAGGCCTTGAGAATCTGCACAACGTCATCGTCATTGAGCTGTAGTGCTTCTCGTAGTTGTGGTACTGGTAGTGCATAAAGCTCTCGCTCTTCCTCTGTAGCTTCCCCTTGCAGGAACGCTGACGAAGCATCCGCAAGCCACGTCTGCCATTTCTCGTTGGCCGCCTTCTGGTATAGCATCTGGCGCGCTCGCCTCGAGGGTGTTGGCGATTCGGTCTTGAGCGTCTCGAGGTCCTTGTCGGTGTAGCCGATGAGTACCAGTCTGGCCTTGGCCTTCTTGCCGCCTTCCGCTTCTGGATCCTCCTTCCAGGTAAGTACCCAGCGCATCTTCATCAGGTCGACGTCCGGTAGCTTGCTCCGAAGTACACCTCGGCACGCCTGCGCGAGTAGAAATTGATCAACTTCTTTCTTCATAGCCACGTCGAACTTCGCCTTGTCCTTGTCGTCCAGCTTCTTGTAGCTGACCTCGATGCGCTGCCTCCTAGCCTGTGTAGCCACGTACAGCCTGGGGTCCTTCACGAAGCGGTTGAGGGCGTCCCGGGAGGGGACCGCGATAGACAGGTAGACGGCATCCTGGCGCTCGGTGGTGACGTCCTGGTCCTCGCTAGTCTTCTGAACTGAGTTGGGGTCGTCGGTCATCCGCTTGCCGAACTCATCCAGGTCTCTCCCACGCTTGGTTCCGGTTCTCGTAGTCTGGCGCGACTTCTTGACTGCGGCGTCTTCTTCAGCTTCTTGACGTCGCCGAACTCCAGGTACAGGTGGGTCTGCAGGTAGTTGGCCTGGTGGTTCTGGCGCTTCGAGATCTTCCGATGAAAGGTCGTCCTCCTTCTCTGACTTTTTGTCCTCGGACTTCGTATCCTCCTCCTTGGTCTCGGCTGCCCCTGTAGGCTCCGATGTCGTAGGCGCCCCGGTCGCCTGAGTCTCGGCAGCAGCTGGCTGCCCACCTCCCGCCTTCTGCGGAAAGGGATCCTCTGGCTCCATCACCCACGCGTCATCTTCATCGTCGAGATCTGGAAGGCGTTGTCCGATCAGATCCTCGAATTCGCTAGCCTTGACCTTCAGCATGGCAGCGGTGATGTTAAGAGGAACCGCCTCTCCATGAAGAAGTTTGTGGATCTCGATCTCCGTCTCGGTAGCTGGTCGAAGGTGGCCACGTCCTGCTCGTAGAAGTCGGCCGTGGTGCTCTATCCAGACGACTGACCCTGGATTGCCGTCCGAGCCGGGCTCCTGGGCGATGACTGTCGCCGGGCCAGCCCAAACTCCACCAGGCATCTTAACGTTGCCCTTCGCCTTCTCGGACCACCAGTAGCAGAGCTGCCCTGTAGTCCAGTGTGTCTTCTCTCTGGTCTTGCGTAGCTCCAGTAGGGCAAGACGTCGTCTAGAAGTAACCTCTAGGAAAGCCTTCCTCGCCTCGAGTCGCACCTTCTGGTTCTTGATGTACTCGTCGTCGTCGGCCTCGTAGGTCTTGCTGAGGATCGGCATGTTGTGATCTTCGCCGAACACGTCGCCCACGATCGGCTCAGGGGTCCTGCCCAGCATCATCTCGTAGGGGCTGTGGCCTTTGTACCTGCCGAGGTCGTTCATGGCGGCGATCGCCTCCCAGAAAATCTCGTCCGCGGTAACCTTGGCGTCGGACTCCTCTGCGATCTTGGTCATGGTGTCCTTTAAGATGCCGATATTCCTCTCACATAGCGCTAGCTGGTTGTGAGCCTGCCGAGCCGTGACATCCACCATGATGCCGCGCGACGATAGCCATTCCTTGACTCTCTTCTCGACATGGCAGCCTTCACCGTCCAGGCGTAGTAGAGCAGGTCGTCCGTAGTACTGCATCCACGTCTGCTGCAGCGTCTTGCGGAATTCCTCGCCTGACCTCATGAGTCGGCCCTTGAGGTTGAGCTTCCCGCCGCTGAGCCGAGTGCCTGTATCGACAATGTAGGTCCCGGTCCAGGTCTGCTTGTCGCGAGGGTCCGTCCAGTAGAAGCCGTC